GATGGAGGAAATGGAGGAGATAGAGAAAAGGAGAAGGAGGAGGAGGACATGGAGGAGGAGGAAGAGGAGGAGGAGGAGGAAGAAGAGGGAAAGGAACTTGTTGGAACGCTTTGGTAAGCAACGTCGTGAAGAGAGGAATGGGGGGGAAGGAAGGGAACAATAAACACAAAGCGCACAAGCCTCAAACGGCACTCCCGCGCTCTCGTGCCTGCTGATCGGCCGCTGCCGCGATGCGAGCGCGGCGCAGGAAGGAACTCGCCTTGGACGGCCCTGCGTAGCTCGGAAACAAAACCGCGGCGAATTCTGCCCAGGTTTTCGTTGCCCTTCCTAGACGGCGCAGGGCACACGGGCAACAACTGGCGCCCATCCGAAGTAGCCGTGCGGCCACACACCTGGCAAAAATACAAGCTGTGCGAACCGCAAAACGCCAGCCTGTGCGAAGGATGCAAGGCCGCACCAGAAATCGAGACAGGCCCAGTGACCTCGACCATGACGTCCCAATGGAAAGGGTCAACCCCCGCGGCAGGGACGCAAGGAGCCTCGGAGACCTCCCAGGAGGCCCTCCTCATCACAAAGCACCTCACACACTCTGCAGCGAAATGAGCTGCCATGCGTCACGGGTCTCTGCGGCGACGCGCGAAGCGCTCGCTCGAGCTTCGGCCGTTGCCTCGCTCTCTTCAGGAGGGCAACCGAGGACCGAGCTTTCATGGGATCGGCCAGGGACGAGTCGATCACGGCGCGGCGAGCCCGACGTCGAATTAGGGCGGCCCGCGCATCCCAAGAGTTGGTCCTGGGATCCGGGCGGGCCGCGCGTACCCAGGAACGCTCAGCGGCCTCTAAGGCCGCAGTGTCTGCCAGATGATTTCCAGACCTCGGGAAGGCCTGGTGGCCTGAAAGGCCCTCGGCCTCGAGGTCAAGGCGAGAGGCCGCCCTTTCAAGGGTGACCTGCCCCTCTCCACTCGAGACAAGAGCTGTCTAAATTCGGAGCCACAAATCCCAATTCCCCCAATTGCCGACCCCGCTCCCACCCTGTAGCAAGGGGAAAATGGTCCGTAACATAGTGAAGGGGCCCTGTACTGCCCTCCAGGCACAACGCGGAAGCCGGGAGCTCGGAGCGTGGGGCAGTTTGAGACATGCCAACTACAATTCCAGAAACAACCACGACCAACTCTCACTGCGACATCCCTGGGATAATCCTGATCACCGCGCGAGCCCCGCCACAACGTCGGCGACGAGGATCGGAGGAGAAACGCCCTCCCGAGCCGCCCCTGAAAACCACTGAGGCCTCGGAGCCGACAGACGACAACTCAATCAGGGACGTCGCGTCTGGGGGCTTTATTCTCTCGGCTTCGGGTGAGTCCACGAACTCGGGGTGAGTGCGGTCGGTCGGGGGGGGGGCACCCCTGAGCCACATGCCCGGTTTCATATCACAATGTATAAAACTTTGCGACGCGAGGGGGGGGGGAGAGCGGGTAATCCTCGTGATCCTTGTTGCACTCGCGCCCCCACGCTCGGTGCTGCAACGTCTCTGGCGATTTGCAGCACCGCGAGCGCAACTACTGATCCGACGTGCCCGTCGGGAACTTCAGCTCTCGTCGAGGCCATCGCGCTCAGCAGCCTGGACCCACAACTGGGCCCTGACATCCTTCTTCAAGTCATCCAAAATGCCAGCGACGTCCATTTCGCCATCTGCGAAACCAGCCAGGGGCGAGGTGGGGAGCTTCCACTCGGCAAGACCAGCGGTTTCCGGGCACCCCCAAGAAACAGCAGTAGTCGGCGTCCATCCAGCATCGAGAAGGGAGGTGATCACCGCCGACACTGGTCCCTCGACAACTCGCCATCTGCCCGCTCTGCCTGCCAACTCCAGCCGACGTAAAATCCATGGCCGCGCTTGCTCCGATCTCTGATGGGGTTCAGGATGCAGACGCCAAACAATAATACACTCTGCCACGAGATGACGACGGGACTCCATGACAAGGTCTTCTTCTCGTAAAGAACTGCCAGGGTGCTGGTCAAGCATCTGCCCTTCGGCGGGCCCCAACCCGCCGCGGCGGCTTGGCGACGGGGCCGAAGCAACTGGCACGGAGCAAAGCACAACGCCTGATGTCCATGCGCTGCTTGGGGCAGCGCCCCCGTCGCCCAGAGGCCCGGCGAAGCTTTGCGAGGGCGAGCGTGGCGACGGACATGTTGTAGTCGATGGGCTAGCCTCGCAGCCGCAGCAACGCGCTGCGACAACTTGCGAAGAGACCGTCGCCCACCTCCTGTCGAGTCCAACCCTGAACCAACTGCCTCCCGACCATATTGCACGGGAGAGACTTTGCGGCGAAGCCGCTTGGCCAGCTTTTTCCATCCAAGCTGACGTCGTTGGCAGACAACGCAGTCTTCGTAGAGACCGCCAATCGCATAGCGTCCAATCCCTGCCTGAAATCATCGGCGGAGGAGGCCATGCGGGATTCAAACTGCTCGATAGGCCCTTCAGCTCGAAGAGCGGCGTCGCCTTAAGCGCAATGCAATCGTGCCGTTCTTGGGCCCGCTGGGGCAAAGGGTAAGAGAACAGCTTGGCGGATCGCACCATGCGGGGAACCTGACACAAGAGATCGCACCGCCAGGTGGGCAAGTGCCTCTGCAGCGAGGTATCAGACGCGGCGCGCGGAAGGCTGGCGCCTCTGCAGCTGGGGGCGGCAGCGCCCAGGGGCACAGAGGCCGCGGTCCACGTCGCGCGGCAGTGGTGGAGCAGAATCAGGGTGGACCGCCAGAAGGCGTTCGTGAAGCTAGACTTGTCGAGCGCACGCTTGACAGGCAGGCAGTCCTGCAAACAGTTCATGAAGACGACCCAGGCCTCGCCCCCATTGTGGACTGGTGCTACGGCGCCCCAAGCTCACTATTGGTGGAAAAGAAAAACGCCGCCGCTGTCCTCCGAGCGCGGCGCCCAAGAAGGCGACCCGCTCGGTCCGCTGCTCTTCGCGCTCGCTCTACAGCGCTGCGCGGAGCAGGCGCGCGCCGAGCACGCCGACCCAGCCGCCAGCTCTCTGGACTTGGTGTTCTTCTACCTCGGCGACGGCTGCCGGGCCGCGGGCGCGCCCGCAGATGACCGCCTCCTGCGCCACCTGGTGAAGCGCTTAGCCGCGGCTGGACTGGCCCTCAGCACCGGGCCCGGCATGTGCGAGGCAGTGCCCGCCCGCGGCGCTGACAGCAGCGGAATTGACCGCGTTCCCGCCGGGCTTCCGCCTCAGGGAGGACAACAGCTTCGAACTTCTGGGGCCCCCCCGTGGGGGACGACAGCTTCTGCGCGGAACGCGTCCGGGAAAGAATGACCAAGGCCGCTGACCTGCTGGAAACTCTACGGGCCTTGGAGAGCGCCCAGGTGGCCTTGATCCTGCTCCGCCAGTGCGCCTCCAACTGCGAGCTGGGCTTTTCCGCGCGCGCGATCCCGCCGACGGCGCACGCTGGCGCGCTGCAGACCGTGGGCGCCGCCGCCCAGGCTTGTCTGGAGCAGCTCCGCGGGCGTTGCCCCATCGGGCGACTCTTGGAAGCAAGCGCAGCTCAAACTTAACCGAGGTGGGCTGGGGCCCCGCTCCTCCGAGAGTCACGCGGCGGCCGCCTGCCTGGCCTCGCGGTCCCGCAGCGCGGAACTCTGCCGACGGCTCTACGGAGCCCGCGACGACACCGACGGCGGAGACGGGAGCAGCCCGGCAGCAACCACGCTGGCTTCCAACGACGCAGTCCTTCCAGCAGACCGATCACTTTCGACCCCGCCCAGCGCGGAGACCAGCGGCTCCTCTCCGCAAAGATGGACGACGCCGTCCGCGACGACCTCTGGCAACGCGCTTCGCTGGCCGCGAAGACCCACCTCAACTTGGCGGCGGCTCCAAGCGCCGGCACCGACTTGCAGGCGCCGCCGCGCTGGGCACTCGGCACCCACTTCCCGCGCAGCTTGATGCAAGTGGCGCTGCAGCGCCGCCTTCGACGCAATCTGCTAAGAGGCGGCCTTTTGCACGGCGCGCGGGGTGGCGATGGGCGCGTTCGCAGACCACGCGCTCACCTGCAGCTGCCGCGGAGTCCGCGCGAAGCGCCGCAGCTGCCTCCAGAACCAAGCCCGGCATGGCACGAGGCGCCTGGCGGCTCGGCGCAGGACGCATGGAACGCCCTGGCCTTGACAGTAGATGTAGGGCCGAAGGGGAGCTCGCTCTGAGGCGGTGCTGACAAGCTTGCGACCTAATTATGGTGGGACCCCGTGTTCTGCGGCGTGCTCGAGCGGGCTGCCGGCGGCAGCGGCGGGCGCTCCTCGGGTGGCAGATCGCGCCGAAGTGGAGCGCCTTCGCAAAGACAGATCCGCAGCTCGAGCGCGTCGGTAGAATCGCATCCGCGGTGCCTTTCTGGCCTCGCAAGAACCGAGGACTAGCACCTAACTGCACCTCGAGGCAGACCGCAATGGGTGGATAGCCCAACTGTTGTGCTGCGCAACTCAGCAAAACCCAAGACAGCGAGCCGTGGAACTTCTCGCGAGCAGCAAAATCGCGACTGCTATTCCCAGTGAAGAGACAGTCTCATCTAACAATGAGCGGAAGGGCGCTGCCCGCAGAGTGCTGCCGCCCGCAATGGCCGTGCCCCAGTGGGCCTGCAGCCTCTCAGACCATTCTGAAGTGTCGACATAACGTAATATGCTCCAGATATTGGTCCCTGCCATGTCTCTCTCACCTTGTTTGGGGAAGAGAACGAGAGGGCACGTGGTCGCGCGCAACTGTGCTGGCCATATCCCTTCATATGCGACAAGGCTGAGTCGTTTCAAGAACACAATACGTCCTTGATGAAGAATGCGCTGAAGATCACACGGGGTGAGCGCATCCACCCCAGAAACCTTGGAAGGTAGTTTGGCCACCGCGCTGACGGCCCCAGAGGTGGCAGTGGCTCCTGGCGCGGATCGTGATGCAACTGCTGCAACGCGCGTGCGTGATGGCCTCGGCGTGAACGACTGCGGCAGCCCACCAGGATCTCAAATCCTTTCGCTTGTAGCTCATAAGCTCCGCGGGGTCAGCCACGGCCAGCCATGTGCAGGAACCCCCGTGAACCACTGGCTTGGGGTCGCGAGCCATCGAGTGCAATCGACCTGGATGCTGGCGCCACTGTTCCAGCACCCACTTGGCAAACGGGTGCCCGCCTTTGGCGAGGGAGCGCACCTGCGCGCGATGTGCGAGGCGCCCCGTGAGATGCACCAGGTCGTCGAGCTCATCCTGGTTCGCTGAAGGTGTGATTGACGCCCAGCGAAGCCATCGATCGCGCTCGTCCTGGCGGCCTGCTCCAACATAACCGGATATTTTAGCATTCTCAAAGTGCCGCACATGGCTCTGGAGTTGCCGTAGACAGTCCGCCAGCCCATGCTTTACCAACGGTTGTGCGCGGAGGATCAAGGCGTGGACGGACTCCACTGCTCCCCGACAGGGTCCGCGAGGCGAGCGCGACCCGGGGCGGCCTGGGATAGCTGCCGCTTGAGTCCAGTGCCCGACACTCTGAAGGGCTCGCAATTCTCCTGCTCGTGGTGAACACTGAAGGTCATCTCCACCTTGGTAACCCACTGGCTGTGGCATGCCGCGAGCTGCACTGAAGCCGATCCGTTGATATCGTCCAGAAAATGCTGGTGAAGAGTGCGTCGGGGAACCTCCCCGATCGGAGGGGTGGCCACCTTGCCCTGCGGCCAATCCCCCCCTGGGATGTTAGATAAAAAAACGGGCGGGTCGCCCGTTGGCTCGGACAGGGAAGGCCGATGCAGCAAGTCGAATTCAGCTTGGAGTTCAGCTGGAAGCTCGGCCCGCCTGCGGGCAAGCACCTCCTGCTTCTTAATGGGCGCTTGGCTGCTTGGATCTGCTTGCTTCTTGGGCCTGCGCATTGTGGGGGAAGCTGGTGCTTTGGCTAGCCCCTGTTGCCACCGACGCATGCTGGGCCAGAAGATGCCCACCTGCAAGGCTATATGCGTCTTCCATGGCGCCGAAGCAAGGCCCCGGACACGGCGCCTATCTGCCGCGCCTTCCTTGACCAGCCCGCAATCGATCAACGAGCCCTGAGCAGCCTCGTCGCTTGTGACCTCCACGTCAGGGCAGACCAGCTCGCCTAAAAGCTTGTCAGGCCACCCAGAGCGAAGAAATGCCGACGGCTCCAGATTCCAATCTCCAGCAGCTATCCATGGGGTCAACCAGGGCCGACAGAAACGCTCCCAAGCTGACCAACATAGACAGTTTGTGCCCTGACGTGACTAGACCAGGTCGGAGGCAGAGAGACACTATAACCACATTGCCGCTGCTGAGATGCAAGGCCACGGGTGCAAAACCTCCGCATGGGTCGGGCTTGCAGCGCCTTGCAGCAGTCTGGCGAATTCCGTGGAAACTAGTGGACGCTAGGTGCTTGCGAAATGCGACCAACTCCCAGTCCGACGAGCCACCTCTGCCCGTGGACTTGCTGCCGGCGCAAGCCGCCCCCCAGCCGTCAGCGTCGAAAAGCTGGTCGACACCGTCGGCAAACTTGGACTGCGGTGCGTGCAACTCAACATAACACACCACAGCGAAGGACGCGCCTTCGAGAATCTCGCTCGCCTGCGGGCCCCATTCTGCATTCCCCCTACAAAGAAGCGACAAAGGAGCCGTCATCGGCAAAGAGAGGTGCTACCAAATCTGGTCGGGTCGAACGACTGCGCATGGCCGGTGGCGAAGGCAACTTGCGCCCTTTGCCCAGCTGGGGTACCCGACGCCGCCATTCGACGCGCCGCTGTCCCCAGCCCAGGGGGGCAACATCCCTGGCCATCTGGGGAAAGCATCCGGCCTTGATTGGACAGGACACGCGACAGGACGCAAGACCCTTCCGAGAGCCACGCCGCCATGATATTGCAAGACGGCACGTGTCGCGAGGCGCGGGACACTAAGGTGCCTTTGAGCTGGCAGGGTCGACCTACTAATGGGGGCCGCCTGTTAATCCGACTCGCCTTTGCCCCCAGCCCAGGGGCAACGCCTCCCTGGCCATCTGGGGAAGTCGCCGAAGCCGCCATTCGACCTACAGTTGTCCCCTGCCCAGAGGAGACATGTCCCTGGCCATCTGTGGGAGTCCCCGAAGATGCTGTCTGACATGCCGTTGCCCCCAGCCCGGGGGGGGGGGGGGGGGGGGCGGCGCGATAGAAACGGAGGATCCGGCACTATTGGAACGGTGCACGACCAGCAGCAGGACCCACTGGTCCACGTGGCGACTCAGAGCCTGATAGCCGCAGTGGCACACTAGGACTTTGAGATCTGGCGCCAGCTGGCAACGCCCTCCGGCCTGCCGGCGTCCCCAGCCCAGGAGAAACACATCCCTGGCCATCTGGGGAAATAGCCGACCTGCGCCATTCGGTGGACTCTGCCTCCAGCATGCGCCCAACATCATCGAATGGGTTGTGGACGGCGTCGTCTAGACCCGCCATGGAAGCAGGACACCCGACCAAGGGCCCAGTGGCCACAATGGGATCCGCAAGCGAATTCGAGGCGTCCGCAGAAAACGAATCCGGAGTTGCCGAAATCGAAGCTGAACCAAACTGCGGCCAACTCGCAGCAACCGAAGCACCGGTTGAAACAGTCGCTGAACTGGCCGAACACGACCCAGGCCCATCTTGCGATCCACACGCTGCCTCACTCGCGCGCAACGTCGCCGAGGCAGAACGCGCTGAGCCTGAAGTCCACGTGGGCGGAGGGCTCTGACTATCAGGGGCTGAATCCCTGCGCGTTCCGCCCCGAACTGAAGAAGGGCACGAGCTCGACGAAAAGCTCGCGCTGCCGAAGCCTGCCAAATGGGGCACCGCTGTGAGGCCGTTCAGTGAACGCCGAGGTGGTGCCAGCGAGTACAGGGTCTCCTTGACCTCCTTGAAGCTGTTGGCCTGACGCAGCAGCTTCACCTGCCAGGCGTCGTAGTCCTCGAACTCCAAGTCACGAAACATCCTCAAGTAGCGCGCCCTCTGGTTGCGCCTGGCGTTGCCACCGCGGCGTTGCCATCGCTCGCGGCTGCTGTCGCCTCTTCGGCTAGCGAGCCAAGAAGCAGGTCACACACGGCGTGCTGTGCCTCCTCCAATCAGTAGCGTCTGCAACATCATTGGGAACACTGGCATCAAGGAGCCGTCGGGCGGTGAACGAGCGCAACCGTCGCCCGTGCAATTCGCGATGGTAAATCGCCGTTCTGCGCTGGGGGTCCTGACCCTGTCCCTGGCTTGCCTCGCCGAGGGTCTGAGCTGCTCGATGGCGGAAGTTGGCCTCCTCAGTGGCTGTCAGAAAAATGTTTCCATACTGGGGCCGAGGATGCCTCCCATACAATATGAGTGACCCTGGTGAGGCCGCTGGTATACTCCAAGGGGTCGAACGCGCGCTCTGCATCTAAGCTCACGAAGATGTCGCCGCAATCGTCGGCAGAGGGCTGGCCTAAGCGGCAGATTCCGCTAAAGCCCTTGCCCAGCAGGAGCACGCGCTGCGTCAAACGCTGCCTTGGCCATGCGCCTGGCTTCAGCTCGAAGGTCCTCGGGCCCCTCTGGGGCTGCAGCTGTAGGGCCGCCATCGCTGCCAAGGGGTTCAGCAGCGGCGTCGCCACTTGGCTGAGCAGCAGCGCTGGCACCAACGTCAACATCGCGAGCAGCCGCAGCAGCGAGCCTGCGCTCGGCATGCATCCGCAAGGAGGTCAGCTTGGCTCGAAACCGCCCGTGCAGAGTATTGGGCCGTCGATGACAGTGAGCTCCTCAATCTCGCTGTCGTTACTGAGGAGCGTGGACAGGCTGAGAGACGAAGTGCCTGCAGGAGGGGACGACGGCGGCGCAGCGGGCGGCAGCTGCTTCGCGCGCGCCCCCGCCCAGGAACGCTTGGCCTCCCAGAACTGCTTGAGGAGGAGGAGGAGGAGGAGGAGGAGGAGGAGGAGGAGGGAGGAGGAGGAGGAGGAGGAAAAGGATGAGGAGGAAAAGGATGAGGAGGTGCAGGAGGAGGAGGAAGAGGAGGAGGGCGGAGGAAGAGGAGGAGGAGGGCGGAGGAGGAGGAAGCGATGAAGGAAGAGGAGGAGGTCATGGAGGAGGTCATGGAGGAGGAGGAGGCGGAGGAGGAGAAACTCGAGCCAGCGAGGAGGGGCCCTTGGCGTGCGGCCTTCGGGGGCCGCGGGCAGGCCATGGCCACACCGGGGCGCGCAGGCCACGGCTCGGGGGGAGGGGGAGGGGTAACCACAAGAGGGCCCCTAACCCTTTGGGAGGGGAGGGGTTTCTTAATATCCTCGATGAGGGGAGGCCCCTGTGAGCTCGCACCAACGGTCACTCGGGCGCAGGGCCACTCGTGCTGAGCATCGTTCAGCTGGCCCCTGTCCCCATGGGCGTGGCCTGGGCCCCACTGGCAGATCCAACCCCCTAGATGGGGACAGGGGCCACCTCCTTCGTGACTCGAGGAGGATCTCCCCAACTGGGGTGCTGAGATGTTGGGGATCTGGACAAGGATGGGGACGGGGATAAAGAGTCGGTCAAACGGTACTGACTTACGTGTGGCCGGGCGGTGCGGGCAGCAGCCTGGGCCACGGGAGGCCCGTGCCCCGACAGACCCCGCCCGTTGCCCGCCGCAGGAAGAGCAGTTCCGGGCACGCCGCCCTCTCCAACAGGGAGCCCTCCGCCCCCACACGTCGGGCGTCGTGGGAGCAGCCGCCAAGCACGTGGTGTGCTCTTTGTTCTCGTTTCGCCCACGGCGCCCAGTAATATAATAGAATGTCGCAGTGGAGGTCGAGTCAGAAGATGTAGCAGCAACGATGAGCTCTGTGCGCTGCTCATGCAGCCTGACCCCGCTCGCAACAAAGATGGCCTGTCGGGCGCCACGGGAGCAAGCGGAGCAAGTGAGTGAGGCGGTGTCTCATAGGCGTAAGGTCCACGAGTCGAAAATAGGACGCGAGAGAGACCCCCCTCTACGCGGTTGTCCTCGGAGTTCGATGGGGAGGATATTGGTTGGACAGAAGTTTAAAGACACGCGCCAGCTCCCGAACACTCATCAAGCGACGAGTGGGGGCCGAAGGAGAACCCGAATCGCGAATGAAGCGAGGGCCAAGGGAAGACACGGCTGGGATGAGAAGGAGGAGGAGCAGGAGGAGGTCGCGAGTCACAAGGCAGAGGGCCCACTGAGACGTGGAACACATCACCCGTGGCAGACTCGCGACTGCGGCGCGAGATAGGCGACGCTGTGGGATAGGAGATAGAGGGGAGGAGACACCCCGAGGAGGGGATGGCCCATGAAGGATGTCTGAGGGAGGGAGGGAGGGGGGGGGGAAGGACAGGAGCGGAGGAAGGGTCAGGAACGAGCGGGGACGGAAGGGAGGGGAGAGACACGAGGGAGGCGAGGGAGGAGGAATGCGGGAAGGGGACAACGGAGGGGCCTTCCTGCACCTCCCTCCGAGCAGGCACGCCCACTGCTGGGACACGAGCATGGGGCCCGCCCCGCTCTTCCGGCACACTCTGGCCGCCACACGCCACGGGCGGGCCAGCCCCGACTCTTGGACGTCGTGAAACAACATGAGGGGCAACGATAGGGGGGGGGGGGGCTGGCAAAGGGGGGATGCATCGACCTGAAATCGGCGATACATCGCCGATGGATAGGCGATGGGCCTCCGATCGGGAATTCGCACCTTCCTGGGCAGGTTGGGGTTATCGGGCCCCCATCGGCGATCAATGGGCGATTGGGTGTCGATGAATCCCCCCCTGTGCCTAGCCCCCCCCCCATCAGACCCCAGACAACAGCACGACCAACCAGCGCTCCGCGCGCCGGAAATTGGAAAAACAACGAGAGGCACGCATGGAAACTCTGGCAAGTTCGCGCGGGATTCCAGGGGTCCGCTGTAGACTTCGGTCGGGCATGTCCCCCTACAAGTGGATCTTGGCAGAACAAATAAAGTCAATGCCCCAAGAATGCCCCTAAACTGGTTAACGATAGTAAAAAATCGCCCCCTGCCTATTTTTCACTATTTTTGAATACTCCTCCTGTAGAGGGAAAGGCCCGACTTAACTGCATAATTACTCCCCGTCCCCACCTCCCCAAAGGGGGCGCGCGACGTGGAACCACAGAGGCAATGATACGGCCGCGCATCGCGCGTCGCCCCGCGCGAAGCGCAGACACCTTGGCGCTCCCGAGCCGCCCCGCGGGGCCAGAAGCGGAGGACGAGGACGAGGACGAGGCGTCGCGCATCGCGAGGCGAAGCGGTGGACAAACCTCCCTTTAGTAAACCTCCCTTTAGTGAAAACGGCCTGGGACCGAAACCGACGGACCTGGACCCGCAAAAATGACGGCCGCGACGCCCTCTCGCGAACCGAAAGCGGCCAATTCCTTAATCGACGTGTCAGGGTAGGGGGATTTGCCACCCCCGAGAGGCACTTCGCGCCCTTGGTGCGGCCATCGAGCAGGCGTGGGGGAGGGGGGGGGCCCTGCGCCGCCGCCGATTCCTGGGGAGACCACAGGGTACCCATGCCGCGGCTCCCCAGCCCTCTCCAGGGGCGCCTTCTGACCAGCACCTCCAAGCGAATCCGGCGATGGGAGCGAGGGTCGGCGGCGAGCGAAAGGGAGAAGTGAGAAAGATAAGGCCTTCTCGGAAGGCAGCGGGGCTTTTCAACGCCCTCTGGTATTTTATGTTCTGCGTCTTCGGGAAAGGCGTGGAGAACTTCTCAAAAGGCCAGGGGGATTCCGAGCCTCCAGAGGGGTCTTATCTTTCACACGTCCCCCCCATCGCTCGCCGCCGAGAGGGCCTCGAGGCCTCAAGAGGGGAAACCAAAGCAAAACAGGCGGCACGGGCACCGGTTCTTCCTCCGAGGACCGGGAGCTCCGTGCGGACCCCCGGAACTCCCGCTGCGCGTGGAGGGACAGGCACGCGGGCCCTCCGAGTGAGAGGCAACGACAGAGGGGGGGGACTGGCACAGGGCAGGGAACATCGATCCGGAATCGACGATGCATCGCCGATCACCGAAACCTGGCGAGAATCACCCCCCGAGGATAATCAACTTCGGGGTTCTGGCGGGGATTATAAAAGACCTGCCCGGGGATGGGTATAATGCTGATGATGATGACGATGACGACGATGATGATGGTGATCCTGGGCGCTCCGCACAAGGCTGACTCCAGAGATCTCGAGGCTCGTGGCAATGTTTTTTGCCAGCAGGCGCGCGGCACAAGGCCTACTCGAGAGATCTCGAAGCTCGGGGCAGAGGAAGAGGAGGAGAAGGAGGAAAAGGAGGAGGGGGAGGAGGAATAGGGAGAAGAGGAAAAGGAGGAGGAGAAAGGGCCACGAACCGTGTGAGGGCTGCGCTAAAAAAGTACTTCGCTTAACTCCAATGTTTTGCTTGCTCCAAAAATCGCATGCGCAATCAAAATCCAATCGGTCCCTATGGTCCTGCCACACGTTCCTGACTCGGGAACGGCTGAAACATGAGAATCCCATTGGCCCTGCCGCGCGTTCGTAACGTGGGCAAACTGAACAGGTGAGAATCCCACAGCCCTGCCACACGCTCGTGATTGCGGAAGTTGGTGTTGTGAGACCACCATGGCCATGCTCAGCGTTTTTGATGTTGTTGCCAGTCAAGATGATATGATCGCAACTTCGATCCACGCAACTTTCCCATGGATTTGAAAATTCGGGCACCGCGCCCCTCTCCACAATTGAGTCCCATCAGCGGGGATAAAAAAATGGACGGTGAAAAAGGGGGGAATTATTATCTCCCGTCTCCGGTTGGATCTGCGAGGGGCCCCCGAGGGTGCAAATTCGCATGCTCCCCCGGCAGGCTGGGGCTGTCAGGCCCCCTCGGCGATCAGTGGGCCTTTGGGGGTCGATGCCCCCCCCCCCCCACGACATTATGCGTCACCTCCCTTTGTCTCTGTCCCGGTCGATGGGGGGCGGACCTCCTGGGCCATGCCGGGCCCCGCAACTTCGGGCCCGCGCCCCGCAAAGGGAGCGGCGCCTGGGCCCCCTGGGGCCGGCTGGCTCCTGCGGGCCTCCCGGGGCCCAGCCCCCCACATTAGAGTTCGGTCGGGCACGTCCTCCTACAGGCGGGCTATGGAAGGAAGAGAACGGTTTCAAAAGAGCACGAAACATCGTCACAACACTACATTTTGTGTGCGTGGCACCCCGCAGTCGGGGAGAAGAGTGCGGGGGCGGCGGGGACTTCGGCAGTATGCGATGCTCCGAAGAAGCCCGCCGCAGGCGCCGAATTTTTATTCATTATAGGACTGGCACGCCGCAAGTGCCATTCTTCGTTAAAACTGTATGGTGGGTCGCGGGGTGATCGCGGGTGCGTCGCGGGTTGGTCGCGGGTGGGTCGCGGGCCGGGTCGCGGGCCGGGTCGCGGGTGGGTCGCGGGCCGGTCGCGGGGTGAGTGGCGGGCCGGGTCGCGGGCTGGTCGCGGGTGTGTCTCGGGCTGGGTCACGGGTGGGTCGCGGGTGCGTCGCGGGCGGGTCGCGGACGGGTCGCGGGCGGGTCGCCGGACGGCTCGCAGGGGGGACGACGGCGACAAAAAAAACAACATCAACACCATCAGCATCATCAACAACAAAAAACAATCA